AAGAACAATCCAAAAAATGAAGAAACAAAGGAATATAAAGAACAACCCACAAAAATAAGAACACCAAACCTATAAAATAAAAACCCTAAACTTAGAGTATAAGAACCCTAAACAAGTTTGAATGGGTTTTTCGATTCTTGTAGATGTATTCATTGCCTTGTGGTTTTCAAATGGGTGCCTTCATTACCAAAACGACGGTAAGATTCATTTATCTAAAACAACAGTTTAAAATAAAAACCCTTTTATATTTCACATTTCTACACGGGATGTTGATTATAAAAATATGGGTAAAAATCAGAAACGGAATAATAGTTCAACGTCACCCCGTCCGTTAAGTTTTTAACGACGAGGTACTAAAATGAAGCAAAAGTTAGACTTTAGGTATTGTTCTGAAAAATATGAAAGTTCATGTATTAAAATAGATCAAAACTGAAACTTTAGGTACTAAATACGTAGTTTACCAATTATATAAGAGTGAAAACAAAATTTTAATAAATAAATAAATATATATATATATAATATTATAAATTTTAAATTTTTTAAGGGGATCATATCTTCATAGTCATCATGATGGATTTTATTATGTCGTGTTGGAAGTTAGTTTTTTGTCTCATATTTTATCGATTAGTCTAAATCAGTTATTGTACAAGAGAGAGTGACTCTCCCAACATAATTTGCTCCATTCGTAAATGTCAAGGTTTGAACCGTTAACTTTACTTAAGACACCTAATGTCTTCTTACACTAGATCAATTAATTGTTGATATAAATTTTTATTTTAATATTAAAAAAATCAAATTTGGATAAGAAAAATTCAAAAATCAGTTATATCCGAACACTTGTCGTGCCTATGTTTCTCTTCTATCTCCTCTCATTTTCGTAATTTTGTTTCACTTTTCCTTGTCCCTCTCCTCCTCCTTTGCCTCTCTTTTCACTTCTCTTCTAGTCTCTAATCAACTTCTTCATTACAGGGTTTGCTTTGTCAAGAGAAACGATGAAACCTTTGAATCTTATGCTTTGTTTAACAAACACCACAGCGTGACGCAAATTTGAGTAAAAGGGGAGCCCAGCGCCCCCCGGATTCTTGGGGAAAAAAGAATTTCAAGATTTTTAGGTAAAAAAAGGTATTCTGGTTTACTTTTTAATTCGTAAAGTGTGTCACAGTTGGCGATGGCGCCGTCGGTAAGACCTGTCTGCTGATTTCTTACACCAGCAATACTTTCTTTACGGTCATGTGCTGCGAGATCTTTTCGCTGTTAATAGAAATGAATTCCCTCAAAATTGAAATCGAGATTGGGGCTTTAGGTAATAGGTTATTGCGTATACTGGGTTTCTTTATTGATATCTGTTTGTTTTCACAATTGATATGGTAACAGGACTATACTCCCACAGTTTTCGACCATTTCAGTGCAAATATTGTCGTGGATGGTAGCATCGTCAACATAGGTTTATGGTGTGAGAAAGGGGCCATCAATGGCAAGGTGAGCATGAATAAGAGATGAGCAGTAAGCTATGGAAAGCTTTAGAACTGAATGAATATTGAATCTATTAACATATGCAGAATACTGATAACAGAAAGTATATTATTTACAATACATCAACTGGCATTATATACACACTTGCACAACTAACAAAGTTGTAACTGCTCAACAGTTCTAACAGTCTTAACAACCTGAAATTAACATCATAACAGATTACTAACACTGTCAACTGCCTCACGCATTCATTCATACTCTCATCTCACACTTAACATACATTAAGGTGGCGTTTGGTTGGATGGAATCTCTTGGAATTTGTGGGAATTGAAATTCAATTCGACCACTTTCTCATGTTTGGTTCAAGTTTTTCAAGGGAATTGGAATCCCTGATGGAATTCAATTCCATCAAATGAGGGAAAGTGAATTTCATCCAAAAATTGATGGAATTCAATTCCATTGTTGGAGGGAATTGAAATTTGACCATACTACCCTCGTCAATCCTTTGGTAACTTATTCATATGTTGAATAAAAATATTTTTTTATTATTTCGGGTCGGGTTTCTAATTCATATATTCGGGTAGGGTGAAACTATATTTTAATCGGGTCGGATCAGGTTTTTTAAAGTGTGATATTCGGGTCGGGTCGGGTCGAGTTCGAGTTTAGGGTGAAAAAAACCGGACCGACCCGAAAATATATATAATTCAGGGCGGGTCGGATTAAGTCATTGTTTTTATTAAATAAAAATAATTTTTTATTATTTAGGGTCGGGTCGGGTTGGATTTCTAATTCATATATTCGAGTCGGGTCGGATGAAACTTTATTTTGTTCAGGTCGGGTCGGGTTTTTTAAGTGTGATATTCGGGTCGAGTCAGGTAGGGTTTTTTTAAGTGTTATATTCGGGTCAGGTCGGGTCGGGTTCGGGTTTAGGATGAAAAAAACAGGACCGACCCGAAAAAAATATATAATTTTACCTTATATATTTAGGAATAATTACAATAATAACCCTCTATATATAATTTTTTTCAATTAAGTTAATGTTTTTATTGAATAAAAATAATTTTTTATTATTTTGAGTCGTGTCGGGTCGAGTTTCTAATTCTTATATTGAATAAAAATAGTTTTTGGTATATTTTTTTGTAACTAATTAACATACTCCGATTGAAATATATCGAAATATTGCTCTATCTTTTGGTAACTTATTAACATATTTTGATTGTGATGATTTTAACTTATAATGTTTATTAGCATGATTTTTATAATTTATTGAAATGAATAATCAATCAATAAAATGAAAAATTTAATATTTTTTAATTTTTTATAATATATTACTACATGTAAGTTGTAAAATAAACTAAAATAAAGCAAAAAACAAGAAGGGCAATTCTGTTATTTTACATTACTGAAATCAAATTCATCTGACATGTCTACGAACCAAACAGAATATGGAATTGGATTCCAATTCCTACAAATTTCAATTCCTTCACAGATTCCAATTCCCTCATAAACATTCCAGCGAACCAAACGCCACCTAATTGTCTAATATTCTCCCTGCTTTCTCAACCTTCTCGATGAAAAAAGATGAACACTTGAATCGAAAGTGCATCACCTCCTTCCGTTCGACTTGAATCGGAAGTGTCGATGCTTCCTTCCGTTAGTCTTGAATCGGAAAGTGCCGATGCTTCCTTCCGTTCGACTTGAATCGGAAGTGTCGATTCTTCCTTCCTTCCTTCCGTTCGACTTGAATCGAAAATGCCGGTGCTTCCTTCCGTTCGACTTGAATCAGAAGTGTCGTTGCTTCCTTCCGTTCGACTTGAATCGGAAGTGCCGTTGCTTCCTTCCGTTCGACTTGAATCGGAAGTGTCGTTGCTTTCTTCCGTTCGACTTGAATCGAAAGTGCCGATGCTTCCTTCGGTTCGACTTGAATCAGAAGTGCCGATGAAATCACAAACCTCTGATTTATCTTCAGACTTAGATTCGTAGGATGAGATCGCGGAAGAGCTCCAAATATAATCTTCTTTGAAATCAATACTCTCTTCCTTAACAGTGACATCATTATATCCGTAAGCTGTCATGTTATTGTGACCATCAGTCATGGACTCTACATCAGAATCCCGATAAAGATGGTTGAACGGATTTTGTAAGTATATTATATCATCTGATAGAAGGACGCTATAACCCAGTTGCAAAAACTCCCTTAAGATGTGGAACTTCAACCCAAAGATAGCATGATTGCCTCCTGTTCTCCCAACGGCATCAATACCTGTATCCGGATCCCTCTTGTACACTGGGACATCATTTGATTTGCAGAATTTTTCAATATTGTCATCTAAAGCTATAACTAGGTACTTCAGTATACCAACTCTCTTGATGTTAGAAACTTGAATCTCCAACATCTCTTTCACATTTGAATTTGCAAGCACAACTATAATCTCTTTCTGAACAACAACTTTCTCCAAGATCGCAGCCAATCTTGGGTTCACAGATTCATCAGGGACAACAGTCGGGTTAGTCCGCAAAGCTTTGACAGTACCAAAAGGTCTAGCTTTATGCTGCTCACCCAAAACCAGAAACTGTTTTTGGGCATTATCTTTTCCTTGTTCGGCCAGTTGCAGCTTCTCCTTCAAATTCCTGACCTGCTTCTTTAATTCGGAATTCTTTTCTGATAGTGATACGATTTCAAGCTTCAGCATCTTACTCCGCTCCGAGGATTCACACGACGAAGAACCAATCTGGAAACTTGATTTGCCAATTCGATGGTTTTGAACGGAGGTAGTGGGATTGATGAGGTCGTGAGGGAAAAAGAAAGCGATGAGACATCAAAGAAGAACTCCAATCACAATGGCTATGGCGATTCGAGATCCACAAAACGACTGCGCTTTGTCCCTGCGATGAAGTCTACAGTAGCTATAGCTTGAGGAATAAAAAACTCAATCGTCAGCGCAACAGCGGAAGAGAAAACGACGCCAGGATCTTTTAGCGAATAATACCATGTGAGAAAGGGGCCATCAATGGCAAGGTGAGCATGAATAAGAGATGAGCAGGATGCTATGTAAAGCTTTAGAACTGAATGAATATTGAATCTATTAACATATGCAGAATACTGATAACAGAAAGTATATTATTTACAATACATCCGCTGTCATTATATACACACTTGCACAGCTAACAAAGTTGTAACTGCTCAGTAGTTCTAACAGTCTTAACAACCTGAAACTAACAGCCTAACAGATTACTAACACTGTCAACTGCCTCACGCATTCATTCATACTCTCATCACACTTAACATACACTAATAGTCTAATATATGGGATACTGCTGGTAACTTGGAAACAGCTTCTGCAATCCTCTTTTTATTAGTAGCTTTGACTTCTTTCTTGCTCTGGTTTGAAATCATTGCTTTGGAACAGGTCAGGAAGATTACAAAATATTAAGGCCATCGAGCTATCGTGGGGCCAACGTGTTTGTCCTTGCATTTTCTATCATCAGCAAGGCCAGCTATGAAAATGTCGCCAAGAAGGTTTAAAAATTGAATATCTTCTGCATGTACAACATAACTTTGTTTAGTGCGAGATGTCTCTGTAATGGCCTGCGAATACCTGATGTTGCTTTTCGTTTCGGTGGATTCCTGAATTGAAGCATTATGCACCGGGTGTTCTGACAATTCTGGTCGGAACTAAGCTTAGTATGATTTTATTTCCATGACGGTATCCTTGTTTATGCTTGCAATGGCCATGTTTATTAATTGCAAAAGCTCTGATTCCCTAAGTGATATAATTTTCTTCTAAAATAATAATAGTATCCTGTTATAGTAATGTTTTTGAAGTATCCATGTCCAACACTCTTATCCTAGAGATAGGTATGGATATGGCCTCAAAAAATCCTTTAGATACATGGAAAAAGAATCTAATTATGTCCATGACTAACAGTCACACTCGAGTCTGAGTATGATATTCTTTTTAGAAGTTTTTCTATTTCTGAAATCTTGTCATCTTTTCTACTATTTTCTGTTGCAGATCTCCGGGATGATGAGCAATACCTTATAGACCATCCTGCTGCAACACCCATATCTACAGCTCAGGTACTTGTTTACACATCATCATCATCACCATCGTTATTATTATTTAGTAAGAATTTGTTCCTATTGTTTTAAATATTGGTCTTGCATCACTTCTTTATGAAGGGAGAGGAGTTGAAGAAACAGATAGGGGCTCCTGCCTACATCGAGTGTAGTTCAAAAACACAGCAGGTTCAAATACTCTACATTATTTTAGTGACGTAGTAAATGTCGCATGTTACGTCATCACTTTAAATAGTATGACTTATGTCACGTCATCACTTTGAATGGTGTGACATAATTACATCATTAAGTGAATATATATGAAAATGTCACATTAATAATATAGATGAATCATTAGTCTATTAACAATTTTCGTCTAACATAATCTGTTTTGGCAAAAAATTAAAATATTAAGAAGTAAATTACTTCCGAAAGGAAAGAATAAGAAGCTAAATAATCATTTATGCGAGGGTATTTCTCTTATTACGCCTATAAAATTTATGTTAAAGCAATGCAAGCTAAGAATTGTAAATTTGGGCCTTTTAAGAAAAGGGAAATAAACCCCACGCCTAAGAAAATAACTTAATTAGCTGGGGGCCCCAATGTCTAGCTAGAGGTCCACTTCAGGAATTAAATGTAATCCTGCCATACTTAAATTCCAATCTAAAACAAAAAGTAAATTATGTGTTTAATATTTATACTATTAATTTTAGTCTGTTTTAATATTTAACCTTCCAATCTAAAGTATAGTTTTTATTTTATTTTAATACTTTTTCGTTAAAAAAATTAGTTTTTGTTTTATTTTATTATCTCTTTCAAAATTTAACGTTAAGTTTTGAAAATATTAAAAGTTTAGGTACTAAAACGGACCAAAACTGTTAATTTAGGTACTAAACTCGTTAAGTTTTTAATGGTGAGGTACTAAAATGAAATGGAAACTAAATGTTTGGTATGGTTTTGAAAAATTGAAAATTGAAATACTAAAACGGGCTAAAACTGATATTTTAAATACTAAGTGCGTAGTTTACCAAAAAACGTTTACATGTGAAATATAAACACTTAATTAAGATTTAAGAATATGCTTTATCTTCTTAAGAAAAGAATATGCTTTACCTTCTTATAATTAAACTAGTGCAAACATAATTTATACTAATTAATATAACTGGGAAATATTAAATTATTATCATTTTTGGCATAATTACTAGTATCTGATTTATTAATCGATTAATATGGGTTAGGTAATTGTAGAGGTAAGGGCGACTTTTCCAACTTAGTTTACTTCATTCGCAAACGCTAAAATTTGAACCTCAAACATTGTTTAAAAAATCTAATAATTTATCTTAATAAACTAACTGGTTGTTGATATTAAATTATTATAATAAGATTCTACATAAGGAGTATAAACATAACAGGAATAAAATCTAACATAAAAAGAATATAGTTATGTCGATATAACAAAAGTATATGAATATATCATAAACAAACGAAAAATGTTTAGAGTATTTATATGAGTAGTCTCTTATTTTCGTCCGGGGTTCACATATAATAATATAATGTAGTTTTTGAAAATATTTTAAAAAATAAATAATTTAAACGTTTTAAATCATATAATATATAATTTTAAAAATCAGGTTTTGAAAATATATAATACGATTTTGAAAATATGTTTTAAAAACATATATTATATAGTTTTAAAATCAATTTTTGAAAACATATATTATATAATTTCAAAAACAATTTTTGTATATATATATATATATTATATTTTTGAAAAACAAATTTTGAAAACGTATAATAAATATATATTTTTTAAAATAATTTTTATTTTCAAAATATATTATTGATTATTTTATGTATTTATTTATTTATTTATTTATTTATTTTGTTTTTTATTTTTTATTCCATTTTTAGGTCCTAAGGGAAGTTAGGTCTAGTAAGGGGGTAAGGGAGCCCAATCGGGTGCCTGACCTAGCAAGCCCAACAAGGCCCAATTGAAGCACACCTGATCCAACTCGAGATCTGAGCCCAACTGCCCAACCCAGCAGAAGCTAGGGTTTCATGTTTAGCGCAAGCGTCGCAAGACCAAGAGCCGTTGGATCTGGTCCTTTGATCCAACGGCTAGGAAGCATCAGGAGCAACACGTGAAGGCCACACGCTAACGTGGTTAACAACCGGCCGAGATTCCAGGCCAAACGACATGGGACTAAACCTTCCTGGGATGGCCGGTCACACGAACAGTCCGAAAATAACGGGAACGAGGGAAACAACTTGTTGGGAGCGGAAACAACAACCCACCGGCGGTGGGGTATAAATACCCCCACCCAATATGTCAAGAACACAACGGAAAAAGCATCGAAGCACCAAACCAAAATCAAAGCCACAAAAACAACCAAAAACCCAAATAATATTCGGCCAAGAGAAACTGAAAGCAGCCATATAGCCAAAACACAAAAAAAAACACGCAAATAGCATTTGGAAATAGCAAAACAAATCCAAAGGGGCAAGACGAATGTCGATTTAGGCTCGGATAAGGCAACAGTCATTGGAAAGCTCGCCGAAAAAGGTAAAGTCGAAACCTTTTTGTTAGATCTACTCCGTTTGGGGTGTGTTTCGAGTATTTAGGCTTCGGTTTTGGGTTCAGGGGGTGGCGAGGAAGCTTTTGAGCCTAGCTTTTGTGGTCAGCTCGTGGCCGGTTGAGGAGAGCTTAGAGAGTTTAGAGAGAAGGGAGAGGGTTGATTTTGGGAGAAATGGTTGAAATGTTTTTTTTTTGTTATTTGTGGAGTATTTATAGGGAGGGCCTTTGTGAAAATATGAAAATTTTAAATTATTTCCACTGTCCCTGTAGTTTTGATGCGTAATTCATTTTGGTCACCAGTTGTAAATTTTCCTTTGAATTTCAAATTTATTCAATTTAATCCCTATTTATATTTTTATAGTTATGCAATTTGACCGCCTAACTTCTTATTTTCTTCTTGCAACCTTTAGTTAATTCCAATTTGATCATTAATCTTTAATTCTTTTCAATTTGGTCATTTTAATTCAAATTTCCTTTTATTTTATTTTTTTTTATTTAACATTAATTTGATTTATTTTTTAGGGTCAATTTTAAATCCTTCAATGGTAAGTAATTCGGATCGAACTTTTAAATTTTAATTTAACCTTTGATTTTTGCAATTAAGACAACCGAGAAATTAAATTAGTACTGAAAGGGAAGTACAGGGGTGCTAATCATTCCTTGACTGTAATCGACTCCCGAATCCGATTCAATTATGGTAAAATAAAAGCAGATAAAGTAAAATAAAAGATTAAGGTATCCGATAAACCTAATTTTAAAAAGATCGGTGGCAGCTCCATCATATCGAAATTAAGTAGGAACCCGATTCCGGGCCCACCCGAAGGACGGTTACGACAACTTGGCGACTCTACTGGGGACATGTAAGTGAGTCAAACTAAAATTAATTTTCGGTTGTCTTCTTAAGCGAAAATTGTAAGTTTAAATTTTAATTTAACTCTTCGATACTTATTATTTACCTTCGATTATTATTTTTCAAATAAATAGTCATACTGATGTTTTCTAATGATTTCAACTTTTTAAAAATTCATCTTAAGCTCTATACCCGAACTCAATAAGAGAAGCTAGTGCTGAAGGCAAATAAAGAAAGGATAGAGCAGCAGCTGAAAACGATGACCGTTCCACCAGCCGGGTATGTTCCTGCTCATCCAGTGCCATATCATCCCGGGGCAAACAAGATGGCCGTTTTGCGCAGCTACGGTTTGGTCCCGATGTGGTAATATTTACCTACATCGGTACGAGATACATCTCAAGGTCACGAGCTTAGGCCCCCTGCAGCATAGTATTGTTTTGCATTGTTTTATTTCCGAGTATCCTCTGCGGTTCTGGCCTTGGCTGATCTGTAAATATTTACCTAGTTATTCTACGTAGGTTATGGTATTTGTATTATTTCATGAGATTATAGTGAAGAATTTATGATAGGACTATTTGTACAATTTGACCTCTTGAATAATGCCAAAAATTCTAAACTCCGACATTAAGGTATAATCTTGCCTGCAGTCCATGCACCCTTCACATATTTATAATCTTGAATAACTTTTTTGTACAATATCTATATATTATCGATATTTTTCTTCACTTGTACATCGAAGAATATTGAACACCAAATTTTGTTGTATAATGTACCAGTAACAACATGAATCAAGTTAAATTAAATCAACAATTTTAAGTTTTAATTGTTTCGTAAAAACAATACTGAAGTCTGAAGAGCATTATAATGATGTAATTTGCCCATCAAATGAAACAAAAACTGAAAGTTAGTTATGGTTTTGAAAAAAATTTGAAAGTTTAGGTGTTAAAATGAGCCAAAACTGATAGTTTAAATACTAAACTCATAATTTACCCAATGTTTTATAATGAAATGGTATGGAGAACTTTTTCTTCTTATTTATGGTTGAATTAGCCTAAAAAATGCAACTTCAGACTTCGGAGCTGGATGGTTAGTTCTAATGATTATTGTTTTAAGTACTTCCTAGAGATCCTGTCATTTTTAGAAGTTAATTGTTTTCACACGAATTCATATTTCTTAAAATACTCTGACAATTTCGGGTACGTGTTTGGCAATTGAATAATATATCCGTGTCGGACATGTACTTGCACCCGAATCCGATTAACATAGTTAAGTGCGGTGTTAGATTTAATATGATGGATTCTTCTTGTTGTCTAATCTGGTAGTTGCTTCGATGCCCTGAATGTGTCGATGCTTCACCGGAATCCTATCGTAACCATTCTTGGTTTGCAAGATGCCCCGAATGTGTCGGTGCTTGACCGGAATCCTATCGTAACCATTCTTGGTTTGCAAGTTATTGCACCTAAACAGATAAGATAACACTCGGAAGACTGTTGAAATAGCTTGATTAACCGCATTCATTATACATTAGTGACCTCTAATCGGTTCTTCCGTTTTTCGTAGATCGTGTATTTGCTGGTTAGCGCTCCTCTTCTCTACGACTTCTACATCTATGGCCCCAAAGAGCCCCGATACTCGGTTCTGCTCGGCGATTTTCTGCAGGTATTTACATAGGCATATCCAAAGTGTTCCACGTACATTATGACCTGAAAACTTCATTGATCCTTTCGTTAATGGCAGTCTGTCGCACAATGCGGTGCATTCTTC